TCAGTGGGCTGTGTCTGTGGGTTAATTTACTCGTCGAGCCTTTCGTCGCAAGCGACGGGCTCGACAAGAACGATTACCGGTGCTTGAGGTACCTAAAAGCACCGTTAGTGGATCGGGAGGATCCGAAATGACGTGTTTTGGGTCACGTCGACTGTTTTCCATTCAGTCCGCAGGATCGGGAATGTAGTTACCGGCGGCCACGATGAGAGGGTTCTCGTGTCATGCAGCTTTCTCAAAGTGACGCATTGATGCCAGCTGTAAATACTTACAAATGGACTCTAGGTCCAGATCATCATGCAAGTCGATGTTCCTGACGAACCACGGGGCTCCGATGGCTATCCTGCAATACTTAATACAAGTAAAGGTTATTAAATAAAAAAAATTTGTAAGTGATAATGTACTTATGTGTCGCGCGGTTTCGTCTTCATTAAATTTAGATTAATTAATATAGGTATGTACATACATATGTGCATATAATATATGCGTAGATTTGGAATGGGGTCTCCCCTAATAATGTTTGTTCTAGGTTTTTGATTGTTTTATTGGAATGAAATGGGCACACTACTTCACGGCCCACCCAGTGTTAACTTATTACCGAAGCGGTAGGCGGATAACGAGAGTGCCACTGCTCATCTCGTTGTAAGCGATATATCTTTAATATATATGTGTCGGAGACGGTTAGTAGTTTGGTAGCTGCGAGCACGATTCCCGAGAGATGGCAGCATGATTGCGGTGTCGTCGGAACTCGGCTAACTTCGTGTTACGACCGAGCCTAGCCGATGGAGAAGCAGAGACGCCATTACAGTTACACACTTACCAAACAGCCTTCTTGAAGAGCAGTGCCCCCGTCCTAAGAACTGTCATTCGTTTTCGTTTGCTAACGTCAAGAAACGATTTCTACATTGTTCTGAGACAACAAATGTGATTGGTGTACTCAATATTTCAATTAACTCGATCACTCTCTTCGCCCTTATGATGTCTGACGATGGTGTTAATAATTGTGGCTTCTCCGACATAATATGTATTTGTTTTACGATTCTATTTTAGTTATGTAGTAAAATAACATTAAATTCGGAACGTATGATTTTACGATAGAAACGTACAGAATTACACATTACCAGTAAAAACGTAAATTTAAAAATACAAATACAAATTAAGGTTTAGGTTTTTTACGCGGTGTTATTCTTCCATCGGCGAAGTCGTTCGTGAAGACTTCATCTTGTCCTATTGTCCGAACGGACTAAATATCCTATCTAACTATGCCTATATCATCAGCCCGCCCCGGGTTTCTTGTCTGATTCATTCACGGATCGCGATTCCGATTCGTTAGTAAATGAAATCAGGATTCTTTCTTTGCGCTGATAGACCTCCGCCGCAAGCCCTCGAGCGGTTCATAGCAAATCCCTTTCTCCTGACTGAATCCATTCTCATGAACCCGTCCTCGTGAAAAAATAGAACTTAATTGTGTATGTGGGCGCAAACGCCACTATTGGCAATAAATAACATAATAAATATATAGTTTAGTTTACTTACTTATTGTTAGTAACATGAAACTGTTATTCTGCCATGTTTAATATTTAGCGGACACGGTTTTGATGTGGGAGTGTTCAGAGTGTGTTTAATCTATATAAACATAAATAACAGGATAAATAAATAAGTATTGGTAAAACATAAATATTAATAATAGTTTATGTATTGGATAACGATTTTAGTAATATTAAGACATTGTTTTGATTATTAAAGTGTAGTATAGACGCCGTAACGCCAGAATATAAAATGGCGGTGCGTGGACAAAGTCGTCTCAGGCAGTCAGGTCAGTCGGTCGGTCTGTCGGTTTTATTGACTTTTATTGCAATTATTGCAATACACTGGGTTCAACCGAATACAAATGATGACGGGAACGGCCGCTCAGCCATCCCTGGCGCCGTCATGTACTATCCACATATTTTACTTGAAACACAAACTAAAAAAGCTGCTCAAACCCTACCTACTACTTGAAGGTGACTGAAAAAATAATTCTCTAGAACTCATTAGATATACGAAATAAATTTCCAATGAATCCAGTCCAAACTATAATATCTACGTATTATAATTACTGAGTTGAATGACTTGCTATACGACGCCATGCTTAAAAAGTTTTCCGTTAAGAATAGAAAAACCAGAGAACGATTTCTCATTGTTATATTTTGTTATTGTTATTTTCGAAAAGTGAGCCTACTCACCGTGCAATGGGGTGAACTAACGTATCCATAAATCCTCGTGTACAACACAAAGAGAAGACAAATTTTACTTACGATTTTCTACGCGTGTACAGGATCAAAAGACACACATCATATACTGGTTTAGTATAAATATACTCCTTTTTTGTTATATCTTTGTTTTCATCTTTTTACATTATATAACCTTATATTACACCCTTAAACATTTTTAATCAAAACGTCCCTTTAAAATCGGTTCTGTTTCTACATAAAAATCAACGAAACAGAAAATATAGTGGTTTGTAGCCAGAAACTGATCGCTTTGTCGTAATTCATCATTGGAAGAAGAAAAAGGGAACTTAATTTTATTTACTCACATAAAAAGCACGTATGTATGGCTTTGGACATAAGACCACGCGAACACGTGATCCAGTGACATCTATTGACTACTCAAAAGCATGTGTAAAGCCTCCATTGTATGTACAAACACAATAATAGGTATTCCATACATATTTTATGAGAAGTCGCAGATTCGAGACTTTTTTTTTATATTGCTTAGATGAGTGGACGAGCTCACAGCCCACCTGGTGCTAAGTGGTTACTGAAGCCCATAAACATCTACAATGTAAATGCGCCACCCACCTTGAGATATAAGTTCTAAGGTCTCAAGTATAGTTACAACGGCTGCCCCACCCTTCAAACCGAAACGCATTACTGCCCCAAGGGGAAAAATAGGCAGGGCGTTGGTACCTACCCGCGCGGACTCAGAAGAGGTCCTACCACCAGTAATTACGCAAATTATAATTTTGCGAGTTTTATTTTTATTAACTACACGATGTTATTCCTTCACCGTGGAAGTCAATCGTGAACATTTGTTGAGTACGCATTTCATTAGAAAAATTGCTACCCGCCTGAGATTCGAACACCGGTGCATCGCTCAACACGAATGCACCGGACGTCTTATCCTTTAGGCCACGACGACGACAATACGACGAGACTGGGTATTTACCACACAATATTCAGATTCAGTCAAGAGATTGGTACGCTGTAATGTAGATTAGGTGTAGTATGTTCATAAGAGCTCACTGAAGAGTGAAGACTTCTTTTTATCAATGTTCATGAGTAATAATAATAAAGTATATATAATATGTTTGCGTTAATTGTATAAAGTTCCTCACAGCCCATCAATCGTTTAAAAATCACCGAAACATGCTAATCGGTTCCGGAGGGCGATATTGAGATTAAAAATCAACTTTCATTCGTTCGTACCGTGTGTAGCAAGCCAGCTGTCTTCTCATTGTGCGAGGTATATGTACGTAATGTGAACGTAATTAAACAGTTATTTGTACAAAAATTATTAAATTAAAATTGTTTTCTAACATTAAAACATGAAGTGGGAATCTCATTCGTATTATTTCAAAGTCATCCTACCCTCCAAACCGACACGTATGATTTCTTCGAGGCAGAAAAATTGGTTACCAATGTTACAAATTTTTAATTGTCAGACAATGCGACTCTGTAGTGTGTAAGTCAGTATAATAAAAGACGTCGTACGGATAATACGTGTTTCAATTAACAATCTCTACTCCCCCCACCCCATCTTTCGGATATGGTAATTATGCCACAGTTAATAAATATAATAATTTTAAACAGCAACATTTCAATAATAGTTACCGTGGAACAAGTAATAAAAAAAAGAAGAATAAGGAAAATGTCCATAATGTTTCTCGTTTGAATTTTGGAACGATTCCAAGCCTGCTTTCTCTCTGCTGTGTTTTTTTTTATTGCCTTTGTAGGCAGACGAGCATACGGCCCACCTGATGATGAGTGGTTACCGTCGCCCATGGACTTCAGCAATGCCAGGGGCAGAGCCAAGCCTCTGCCTACGGCATAATACTCTCCACAAGCCTCTTTTAAAGAAGGACATGTCATAGCGCTCGGGAAACACCTTGGAAGGGAGCTTATTCCATAGCCGGATGGTACGTGGCAAAAAATACCTCTGGAAACGCACTGTCGATGAACGCAGCTATTTCAGATGATATGTATGAACTCTGCTCCAATGGCGGGTGGTGCGATGATAAAAAGGAGATGAGGGGATCATCTCAAACAATTCCTCAGAGCACTCCCCATGGAACATACGGTACAAAATACTGAGGGAACCGAAGTCCCTCTGCAGACCCAGAGGTTCCAAACGATCCGTGAGAATTACTTACACAATACAACTCAAATATTTAATAAGGAAACAAATATCGGAAAAGGTAACGTTGCAGATGTAGGTACGAGTATCACGTTTTTCCAAAATAAAAGATTCGTTGACCTCTCAATCTTGGTGCTCTGCGTCGCGTTCGGGCTGTGTCTACTTGCGATCTTATTAAACCGTTGTATACGAAACATACGTGACATGTTACAAATACGCTAAGCTCTACATACAAGAAAAAATTCTTGAAACTCGAATTTTTTTTTGTCGTTTATTAAGGTATCTATTGAATTTAATTGAAAGTGCTGTTTTCATCTATACTAATAAATAAAATTGGAGTGTCTGTTTGTACTAATAAAATAAACACTTTTTACTAAACGCGTAAATATGTATACCACAGTAGATATACCAATTTTTTGGAACGAAGTTCCTTATGAGACGATGCGGAGGGGTACCCTAACCGGAAAAAAATGTCCGTAACGTAAGATTTTTCTATTTAGTTTGTTATCAACAGATGTCGCTGCACGTAAATTCAACAATTCCTGAATCGCGGTGACGAGATGTGACACAGTTGATAGACGTTCTCGTATTTCTCTTGCTAAATCATACTTGCCTGAGGTCGGGGACACCGGGATCATGCAAGCGGTTCCCCCAGGACGAGGATACTCCATTGCTTGTACTGCGGAGTGGTTGACCCTTGCGATTATTTAATTTTTATCAATAAAAAAATCATAATAAAAAATGTATACCCGAATAACTATTTTCTTTATACCCCGAATAGATCATAAAAATAATAGTTTTATAATAACTTATTATTAATAACTTCGTTCCTATCCGGTGTCCCACGACACCACACTTTTTTTTTGTCTATCTGTCTGTCTGTTCCGGCTAATCTCTGGAACGGCTGGACCGATTTTGATGATACTTTCACTGATAGGTAGCTGATGATATAAGGAGTAACTTAGGCTTTACTTACTTTTTTAGACTATCTTCGGCCCGCGGCCTCACCCGTGGTACCAGAAAAACCGCGTGTAACATCGCGGAATTCAGCAATCATCAATAATAAAATTTAATGTTTCCGAAGCGAAGCGAGGGCGGGTCGCTAACTTATAATATAATCATATTAATGTAATATTAGCTTGTATATTTTTAAAATTATAATATAAAATATATTTTTAAAAAGAAGATGTTTGAGACGTATTTTTAGCTAAATCTACTTCCATATGCATGTTATGCCATTTACAAAAAGGAAATTGTTATTTTTCGTAATTCATATAAATTATTTCCCGCGTGGTGCCAACGACTGGGGGCGCTCGAGCAATTACAAATGAATGAGCAGCTTACAAGAATTATGTAAATATTGCATGAGAATTACCACAGAATAAAAAAAAGTTTAGGTGTTTCATATTTTATTAAACACGTATGAAAATTATGGAATATAGATTAACTGAGTCATAAAAGTTTAATTATACCGTAAGGTTAAAGATTAAGGTAAGAGGTTAAGGAACTTTCTAAATGGATCGCTAAATGATGATGGATGAGTTGCCTCCGTTTGAGCGCACTAAGTGATCGGAGATGTATCCATTCAACTAAATTTTCCAGAAATTTTCTGAGATACTGATAATAAATACTATGAATTTATAGTCAAATAAATGAAAAAGCTAATTTGTATAAACAAAACGGTAACCACTTCACAAAATGACTTTACCACCAATCCCTAACATAGTTTCACCGCTGGCAAGGAATTCAGGACCTCTTCTGATCCAAAATTATTTACCAAAATAATTAAAAACTATACAACTACTCGATATTTTGTAACGCTTTTCATCGACACAACTCACGACTCTCTTCCGAAGATGTGGACAGACACAATATAATGGATAATTAATAGCTCAGAGGAATTTACTGGGACCCTAACTCGTTTAATCATCGCCTGTGTTGCCAAAGCAAAAACAGAGTCACGTTCGAAAATTAGACCCTCGTCCATCAAGGATAAAGATAAGGAAATCGAATTTGCAAGTCGATGACCCGATGTAAACGACCTGTCTAGCTGAAACTTAGGTATGTAAAAACTGCTATATAGTTAAGGTATAATTTTGAAAATGGAATCAAATAAACTCAACGCCTGACGTTAAGCCTTCGACCTTATCGGTAGGCAGCACCTTGGCTCTGCCCCTGGCATTGCTGAAGTCCGTGGGCGACGGTAACCACTCACCATCAGGTGGGCCGTATGCTCGTCTGCCTATAAGGGCAATAAAAAAAACCTCTTTTTGATTCTATTAAGTTCATTTAAACATATTGCAGGCGAAGGGAACAGGGTATTTGAAACAAAAATGATTAGACTAGAGATGGAGTAGAGATTATAGTGACTAGACTCCCAATGTCAAACATTTCGCAAAATACATGCAATAAAAAAAATATTATTTTAAATTATTATATTGAGTGAAGTCACGACTCACTAAAGTCGTTAACGGGGTCCATTTATCGGATCCCGTTTCAGGAAGATGCAGTCATAACACCAACAATGGAAGAAAGGTAGCGCGTGATAGTAAAAGATAGTTCGGTATATAATTTAGTTAGCCTCAGCTTCTTTTTTTTATCCCTACCTATGCTGATAGCCTTGAGAGGCTATTTCAGCTTCGCCCTAACGTTTGTAGGTGAGCTCGCGGGGCTCAACCGGAGAGTTGCTAACACTGACCCTAGCAAGAGCAGTGCTTCGCAGAATCTACCACCGGATCGGAAACGCGACCCACTGAGAAGATCCGGCGAGAAACTCAGTGGGCTGTGTCTATGGGTTAGTTCGCTCGTCGAGCCCTTCGTCGCAAGCGACGGGTTCGACGAGGACGGTGACCGGTGCTTGTGGTGCCTAAAAGCACCGTTAATGGATCAGGAGGATCCGTAATGACGTGCTTTGGGCGACGTCGACGGTTTACCATTCGGTCTACTGGGTCGGGTATGTAGTTTCCAGCGGCTACGATGAGAGGATTCTCATGTCGTGCCGCCTTCTCAAAATGGCGCAGTGATTGATGCCGACTGTAGATACTTACTAAATGAGTCGAGCTCCAGGTCATCGTGAAGATCCACGTTCCTAAGGAACCATGGCGCTCCGACGGCTATCCTGCAGAATCGGGATTGATTAGCCTCAGCGGATCGCGATTCCGATCCGGTAGTAGATTCATTCGCGAAGCAGCTGCTCTTGAGTTGTTAGGTCTAATTGGAGGCGCTCGAGCAGCTGTTAGCAAACCCCACACCTTCTGGTTGAGCTTTTGCTCGCCCACCTGTCCTGGTAAAACTGGAAAGGCCTCCGAGCCAACAGTAAGCCTACAATCATTAAAAAAAAAGTTAAAGTATAGCATATCGGGAATCCCCTGTAAGTTATTAATCAAATAGAAAATCGGATTACACACCATTGATATTAGTCACCTTTAATTGAGAGGCTTTTATCGAACCTTGTTGATAAAACAAACTGTAGTTCGATTTAAATTGTCACAAGCTCACTTCCAGAAAAGACAGGCAGATTTAAGGTCAGCATTTAGTATCGGAAGGTTTGTTTACAAAAACCATTCAAAACAGCAAAATAGGCTTGGCTCTCAACCTAAGCCTTCAACCAACATTTATGTATTTATTCATAGCTTTACTCTTATGGCCTCGATAACGCATACATAACACTCAGTTGATCGTCTCAAAAATATTCAAATAATCTTCATAATATCTAGAAAGTTTAAGTAAAGTTCGTTTCTTTAACCATAACAAAGAAATTATACTTTAATCGATAAAATTGGATTTATCTCGTCAAAACTTAACGCTACAACTGATTTAACGTGCGTCAAATTTACTTTGTTTGGTGTAAAAACATTAACTATGTAAAAGCATGAATCTAAAAACATTTCGAACATTATTATACACTTCACATCTCTGACGTCTAACTTCTTAATAAGACCCAAGACAAACAGCTTTGGCTCAGTGGCCTAGCTGACTCAGAGAAATGAGGGTCGCTCATCATCATCAACAGCCCACAGTCGTCCACTGCTGGACATAGGCCTCTCCCAATCTACACCACTGAGCTCGGTCTGCGGCTCTCCTCATCCACTTCTTGCCGGCCACCGTGTGGAGGTCATCGCACCATCTAGCCAGGGGGCGTCCCACGTTACGTCTTCCGCTGCGCGGTCTCCACTCGAGAATCCGTCTGCTCCAGCGATCGTCAGTCCTACGGCATATATGGCATATGTGGCAATATGAGGGTCGCTAAAACGCTTGAAATTCAAATTCATGTAAACTTTGTTATTTTAGAAATATATTCATGTATAAATATAAGTCGAATTGTATGCTCAACACTGCGTTAATTCATTACATTAGGAACAGATTATTACGTGATATTTCAATACCCTTTCGTTCATGCTAGATGTATTTCAGTATGTGAGTTTAACCCCCGCTGTTTCCGTCAGTCGAAACGATATAATTTGACAAGCGTTCACGAACATGGTTCAGCTATTTGTGGAAACTCCCCAAACCCATGTTCGGGTTGTCTGCCCTAAAATTGAATAAATCCACAGTTCGTAACACAGCCCTTGAAGTCATGAGGGAGTAAGCGATTCAATCAGACTGTTGACAATTATTAATAATGCTAGAAAAATTCAGATAGCTAATTTTTTTTTTATTGCTTAAATGGGTGGACGAGCTCACAGCCCACCTGGTGTTAAGTGGTTACTGGAGCCCATAGAAATTTACAATGTAAATGCACCACCCACCTTGAGATATAAGTTCTAAGGTCTCAGTATAGTTACAACGGCTACCCCACCCTACTTCAAACCGAAACACATTACTCCTTCACGGCAGAAAATAGGCGGGGTGGTGGTACCTACCCGTGCGGACTCATAAGAGGTCCTACCACCAGTGATTACGCAAATTATAATTTTGCGGGTTTGATTTTTATTACACGATGTTATTCCTTCACCGTGGAAGTCAATCGTGAACATTTGTTAAGTACGTATTTCATTAGAAAAATTGGTACCCCCCTGCGGGATTCGAACACCGGTGTGCATCGCTACATACGAATGCACCGGACGTCTTATCCTTTAGGCCACGACGACTTCAGATAATTGTCTTAAAATAAATGATATTTAAATGTCACCGAGGGTATTGAAAAGATGTCAACCAGGGGCAGCGTTTTTTTTAGTCCTTTACTTAAGTGGCCTCTACTTTTCAATTAGGACGCTTTACCATTGTTTGTTTAAAAATGTCGATTTATAAAAAATGTGGTGAAGGACCAATGAGAAAAATGTTGATAATTTTTTTGTTGCGCCTTTACAAGAAAACACCGTAAATTCAGCTATATACCAGAATACCCCCTTAAGATAAAACCCATTACCACGGACGAAGTTAGAGACGCGATCCACAACCTCCAACCTAGGAAGGCACCAGGCTCCGACGGCATCCACAACCGCGCGCTAAAATTTTTGCCAGTCCAACTGATAGCAATGTTGGCTACAATTTTAAATGCCGCTATGACGCACTGCATCTTTCCCGCGGTGTGGAAAGAAGCGGACGTTATCGGTATACATAANGAACCCGTCGCTTGCGACGAAGGGCTCGACGAGCGAACTAACCCACAGACACAGCCCACTGAGTTTCTCGCCGGATCTTCTCAGTGGGTCGCGTTTCCGATCCGGTGGTAGATTCAGCGAAGCACTGCTCTTGCTAGGGTCAGTGTTAGCAACTCTCCGGTTGAGCCCCGCGAGCTCACCTACTAACGTTAGGGTGAAGCTGAAGTAGCCTTTCAAGGCTATCAGCATAGGTAGGGAAAAAGAATAAGATAAAATATATCACCCTATTTATTTATTTATTTTATTTATTCCATTCAATTCAAAGTCAGGCTTACAGTTTGCACCAAAACGCCTGACTCGTTAACACAAAAAACATTATTAAAATTATTAAGTACTATTATTATGCTAAAAATAACATTATTTTGGAAAAAAGTATTCCCCAACTATCGGCAAATACGTCAGCATCCTGGATTTCGGACAGAAATTCGTTTAACAGCAAAATTGCCCTGGCTGGTGGCCAGTTCCTAGCTCCACGGGTCCTCAGCCCCGCCAGCGCCGCGAATAAGTGGTGGTGGCGGCGCACTCCCGCCTGCGCATACTGTTGCGGGACGAATAGTGTCATTTGCCGTAGTGCCGAGGGATTATCGACTCTATTATGTAATAAAGAACAGTAATGTACGAGTAGATGCAACTTTCGCCTGCGGTTTAGGGTATCCAGTCCAAGCATACCTGACACAAAAAGCGACGAAAACAAAAACGGATAATAACCATATAACCTCTTATACAGGTACCTAGCAAACTTACGCTGAACTCTCTCTATGAGCATATTGTATTTTGATTCCGGAGAATCTCAAACAATGCAATTATATTCCAGCTTGCTACGTACAAAGGCATAATACAGGACAATAGAGACAGTGACACTGAAATTGTGAACCTACGCGCATTATAAATCCTAAGGCCTTATTGGCGCTCTTGCATGTACGAATGATGTGCTGATGATAGTCCAATTTATCAACTACGATCAAACCTAAGTCCCGAGTACTGTGAACCCTGTCCAACATGCTACCTTCCAAGTTATAGGAATTCTCAACAGCTGCGGGAGAACGCGTGAACGAGATGACTTTGCACTTCCCCCTATGTGTTTTTGGTACCATAAATAATACGCAGGCTATAAAATATCCGAAAACAATATTTGATTTTGTCAATATTTCCATTACGTAATACTCACAAATTCCCAGACCGTCCAGAAAAACCCACCATATCTCTTTCCGCGTTTATCGTTAAAGGCTACTATAGGTTTCAGCGTAGAATGGGTAATAGCGTTGTCTGATAAAGCGTATTGTAAGCCCGCATGATCATCCATACCATCATCCTTTCTGTTTCTGCCTCAATCCGAAAGGAAACCGTTTTGCAATACGATTGAGACTACAACCTCATGTTTCAATGTGGTCATCATCATCATCTCCATACAAATTTGATTTAACTTTTACGCTATCGAGAACGTTAAAAAGCTCGCACTAAGCACACGGTAGGCTTTCACCGGCCGTTGACTGAGTTGAACTTAAAGAGCAGAAATTTATACGTAATAGGTTGAAGTACCAATGCTCTTTAGGTTGGTCACAAGCTCGCCTCCCGATATTTGAAGTCGTCGTGGCCTAAAGGATAAGACGTCCGGAGCATTCGTGTTGACCGATGCACCGGTCTTCGTATCCCATAGGCGGGTACCAATTTTTCTAATGAAATACGTACTTAACAAATGTTCACGATTGACTTCAATGGTAACAAAAATCAAAATACGCAAAATTATAATTTGCGTAATGACTGGGGTGGTAGGACCTCTTGAGAGTCCGCACGGGTAGGTACCACCACCCTGCTTATTTCTGCCGTGAAGCAGTAATGCGTTCCTATTTGAAAGGCAGCCGTTGTATTGTAGAAGTGAGAGTAACTCTCAGCGTGGTGAGAGTACCTACCCGTGTGGACTCACTGGGTACTCTATCACCAATAAAGATTACGCACCAGTATTTGATTTTAATTCTTTAACCTTAATTTTGTTTTCATTCATCAGCTATAGTACATACTTGTAATCTTTTTACCTTTTTGCGGGGCGTAAGCTTGGGCCTGTCTTGTGTTATGATTATCAAAAATTTACTTACACCTTAATGCTTAAGACACAAGCTTGAAAATTCCATCCAATGACCCATCATTGGTTCACAACAGTAATTAGCATAATGGTTACGCGTTGTCCCTACCACTGGTTATTAAAGGAAGAATTAGTGGCATAATTTTATAAATGTATACGGTATGTGAAATTATTGTGTGGTTGTCATTGAACTTCTCCTAAACCGCTGAACTGATTTGATAGTAAAATGGACCGGGCCTATCGATGATATAAATTTACGATTACATCCGGTAGTTGTCGCTGCTATTAGATTCTAGGTTTTTATTCTTTCAGGGTAAAACGTCAGTGTGCTTAGTGCGAGTTTTTTAACGTTCTCGATAACGTAAAAGTTATCTCAAATTTGTATGGAGTTGGAACGTTTGCGTAAGTTTGCCGCTAGGGGCGCTGTTCCAACTGCGTGCAAACTTGAGTTAACTTTTTTTTTTTTTTATGATTGAAACTTTACTGGTGGCCCGAAGGCCTTTCCAGTTTCACCAGGACAGGTGGGCGAGCAAAGGCTCAGCCAAGAGGGGTGGGATTTGCTAACAACTGCCCGAGCGCCTCCGAAGGAGACCTAACAACTCAAGAGCAATTGTTTCGCGAATGAATCTACTACCGGATCGGAATCGCGACCCGCTGAGAAGATCCGGCGAGAAACTCAGCGGGCTGATGCATGGGTTAGGTTGCACGTCGACCTCTTTGTCGAGTTCGACGAGTACGGTTACCGGGGTCCCTAAGCCTGCCCCTAGTATTAGAGCTGAAGGCATCTAATGCAAAGGTTATTGGATCTGATGGATCCGTAAGGACGTGAGTTAACTTTTACGCTATCGAGATCGTTATAAAACTCGCTTTAAGCACACTGACGAACCCACTTGTATTAATATAATTTTTTGTCACATTCTAAAGCACCTTGGTCATGGTTACGTAAATATTTTTCTATTTAATTCATTTATTTAAGTAAATGTCTGACACTTTAATGTAAGCACGTAATGAAGGCAGTGAATTGCATTCGCGTCGTCACCCCTCCTTCGGCTCTGGCTAATAACCAGCGTTGATTGCTTGCATACACCAAATCTTCTGAATAAGACTTATGTTGAAAAACTAGCATTTTTAATCACCTTCCGTGTCATTAATCATTATCAATACTTTGCGGATGGCTTATCAATCATCAACACGCGTGCACCTATTTCACGTCATGTACTCTACATACATTACATATTAACAGTATCATGATATTAGAAATATGATTTGTAGTTTAAAAACCAAAAATACACGCATACTGATCTTAGAATAATTTTCTTCTATTAATCTTTACTTTCTACCCATATTGATATTGGTCAATATTAGAGCGAAGTTACAAAATTATCGTTTTGTCATCGGTCCTTGATGAGTGTGCTAATTGTCAAGTTAATCGGAAGTGTTAAATTCTCTGAAAGCTATGGTCAAAGATTGTGTTACATACTAACATACATGTATACATACTAAGTAGATAAAACATTTCAATAACAGACGACCGAATTACTGCAACTCCTTTTTTATTTGAAGTAAGCTAAATTGCATTCGCACACGCATCAACTTCTGCTTTAGCTCAACATCCATCAAGTATAGGTATATAATAATAAAATAAAAATTATGGTGATTTCAATCTTTATTCTCTCTCTCTCAACCTTTATTATCTCAAGCTTGATTTATTTATTTTGTAACAATTCCTCTGGGCTCAAAGAAGTAGCACTGGTGGAAAGCGCTACCGAGCACTCCCGTGAACTTGGGCTCGTAATTGTAGATAACGTATCGATTCTCTTCAGCCTGATTAACAAACGTGTGGGTGCTCTTCCTGCATTCTTTGACGAAGAAATTCATGAAGTACCTATTGGCTTTAATTGAATCTAAAGAGTGAGCATAGTTCTTCGAGCGTTTCCATTCGAACGCGTTCTTCTCGGGATGAAACTGAACTCCGTAGAACGGATATCTGGAAGGTAATTAATATAAACCATCAAACGTATTTATATAGTAACTAGATGTACCCGTCCGCTTCACTGGGCATTTAAAATTAACATTACTATTTCTCACCCCCACAAAGATTCTCATCATTAACGCCCCCGCAACTGGTATAGGGAGTCCAACGCTCATATAAATATTAACCTATCTATTAGGTACATGTATTTTCTTCATGGATACCAAGTTTCAAGTCAATCGGATGCATGGTTCAATAGTTATAGCGGAACATCCGTAAAAACCAATGTAGATTTATATATTAGTATAGATTATTGGAAAGTTTATGGATCATACATAATAATGTACGAGGTAGGCAGCTGCTTCGCTCTGTCCCTGACATTGTTGACGTCCACGAGCTATGGTAACAACTCATCAGGCAAGCCGTTTGCTAATCTGTTTACAAGGGTAAGAAACAAATATGCGCTGGGTATAACCAAACTCGGTTTACCTACTTATTCCACGTAGCTTGACATGGACATGTGAATTTTGGGATAAGATTAAATACAAACTTGAATGGTCCTAGAATTTTTTTGTTGTTTTTTAGCCAGGAACGGATCTCTAACGGTAATTTTTCAAAAAAAACGCCGAGTTTGTTTCACCAATTTTTCTCAACTGTTTAGTATTTTTGGTATCTATCCTAGATATGACATGTTTTGAAATTCAAGAAGTAAGTATTGATGACATTTAAGTTAAAATAATTAATATTAATTTGAATTTAATTTGCTAAATAATGTATGGGTAAACGTCTCTGGTGGTAAGACGTCTTGGGATTCCGCACGGGTAGGTTCCACCACTACGGCACACACATTTTTTCTAGGTATTAGGAAAAATAGACAAACTACAATACGATGTACATCGGTTAGTAAAACCTAAAGCCTCAGCACACGTGAGCAACTATGATCACTCTTCATAGAGTATCCGATGCGTTACAATAAAAAATATTTTCTAATCGCAACTTACCTCGTATGTTCAATTGTGGCAATGAACTGAACGCCGTATTCGTCATTCGAGTGTGAAGTAACACGCCAGTCATCGGTCAGATTGTATGCTTTCAGATTCTGGAAGGATACATTTAAGAAGCATNGCCTCAGCACACGTGAGCAACTATGATCACTCTTCATAGAGTATCCGATGCGTTACAATAAAAAATATTTTCTAATCGCAACTTACCTCGTATGTTCAATTGTGGCAATGAACTGAACGCCGTATTCGTCATTCGAGTGTGAAGTAACACGCCAGTCATCGGTCAGATTGTATGCTTTCAGATTCTGGAAGGATACATTTAAGAAGCTTAGTGGAGCAATTGAACACTTTGACCTGTGTGCTTAGTGCGAGTTTGTTAACGTTCTCGATAGCGTAAAAGTTAACTCAAATTTGTATGCAGTTGGAACAGTACCCCTAGCGACAAACGTAGGCAAACGTTCCAACTCCATACAAACTTGAGTTAACTTTTACGCTATCGAGAACGTTAAAAAACTCGCACTAAGCACACAGGCGGTTGACTTCGTCGGGGACGAATTTTTTTAAAGTACCAATAATACATTTAGTTTATTTTTTATTGCGAATTTGTTAATTTTATATTGACCACAATTCAAATAATTAAAACAATATTATGTACACATATTTGGAAATTTAACGTAGAAAAATTCACTAACACCGCAATAGGAATGAAGCCGTACCTGCCCCTTTTCCCTAACATAAAATTTAAGTGTCAATGCCATACAGCAGAAATACACGGATGTTGCTACGCCACAGTGCAGACTTGCAAGGCGTAAGGAATTCAAGGTATGCACTATGAATTGTAAGATATATCGTCTTTTCGCATTAAAAGTGTACAATTTCCAAAAATATTTGATATTGAGTTAATATGCGGAACCATTTGGTATCACGAGTATTTTTCTCATAAATATGTACTGTTAAAAGAGCATAGTTTAGTTTTCGCTTTTTTTTTTGTTTACCTATGTTTTGACGACTATTATCAAAATTAATACATAATCTTATCTTACTTTAAAAGACAAATAATGTAACTGGTAACAAATAAAAAATAAATGTTGCAAAGATGATTAATATTAAAAATACCACATGTTAAACCTTTAAAACACTCTCCTGTAAAATTAGTAAGTTTTGAGATTATACAGTTTTAATGCGAGAAGACGATATTATGTACTTTATATTTTCTTGTTGCATGTCAACAAACCTCATCCACGATGCAGAACTGATGAGCGTTAATGGTTACGTCCTGGTTCGCCAAAATGTCGGCAACGTCTTCCGGTACTTCACGAAACATTTTGCTCGAACGAAAATCTGAAAAAAATATTACGAACATCTATTTAATATCCATATTCCAACTCTAATAATGAGCACAAGCTCGCTAAGATGGCGGTTAGTTTTGTTACTTGTCGGGATTGTAGTTGTTTTTGACACGCTCTTATTAGCTTGATATGTACATAAATATTATATGCTTGAAACTTATGTTAGTAAGTATGTAACGAAATATCTTCGCTAATATCTTGACCAGAATCAAAAAGATATAAAAAGATGAATATCATTGTTAGTTCGGTTTGGTTTTTAACTTTTCTATAAAAATGTATGTATTCAATATTTTGACATTTTGTTTGTCATAGTGAATTTTGACATTCTAAATATAAAATGATTTGCAAATTTGATTGGGCAGATAAGAGCCAAAGATACAATTCACGACCCATCTAGTTCCAAGTGCTTACCGGAATACGATAACAACAGTATTTATGAGATTATTTTTTCATTTATCACAACTGTTAATAATTCTGATGTGGCCACTACTTTATATAATATGCCGTAACCGCCTTAGGCTATAAAAATTTAACTAGAAATAGTAGACTTGACAATAGGTAGTTCGCTACGACAAAAGTGCGCTAACGAGTCCAAGGGATCAAGTAGTAGAATCTAATCAATCCTATAATTTACAGCTTTTTATCATTTTAAGATTAAGTTAGAGCTTAAAAAGCAATATTACTCATTTATCATATAAGCGGAATCGTTACGATCATATCGCGATGACATCAACGTGGTTCGCACAGATATTATATTCGTACGTGTAATTCGATTTCCCCTAGATTTTATTATTCTTATCCGTTATTGATTTAAACCACGACTAATCCGGAGATCACATAAATGTAAAAATAAACAAGTTTGTCCGATGTCAACATGACTTAGATTTCCTATATATGATTGCAACAAAATATATAATTAATTTGTAATTTCACAGAGACAAATAAGTAAATTTTTGATAAATATAGGAGTTAATTGGAAAAGGAAAAAATATCTCTTAATAAAATTTCTACAAATCACAATAATATAACTTTTATACGTTTGTACTTTGAACACAAAGTAGATGTCACGGATATCATTTTATTTAATTTCGCAACAGAGAACCTCGTCAGGATTCACGGAATGTATAAAATAAAATCACTCGTAGACTCAAAAAGACATTTATCATGCGTTGATGGTACTATATTTTACTGGTGGTAGGACCTCTTGTGAGTCCGCGCGGGTAGGTACCACCACCCTGCCTATTTCTGCCGTGAAGCAGTAATGCGTTTCGGTTTGAAAGGTAGCGCAGCCGTTGTAACTATACTTGAGACCTTAAAACTTATATCTCAGAGTGGGTGGCGCATTTACGTTGTAGATGTCTATGGGCTCCAGTAACCACTTAACACCAGGTGGACTGTGAACTCGTCCACCCAACTAAGCAATAATAAAAAAAATATGGTAAAAACTTTCCGCCAATGCTAATAACAACTGTGCAGTTTCAATTAAGCCACCAATGAAGAACCAAGAAACTCAGTCACAAAGATTATGACAATATATTTTGATATGGGTATTCGAAAGATTATGCAAATATGACTTTTTTGCTTTTATTTTTAATGAATTAGAGGGTTAATAAACTGTTGAGCCACCATAGAACTTGAGTTCTATATGTCAATTGTATGGTAATTACGCAAATTATATTTTTTGTGGATTTGTTTTAAACGATGTTATTCCTCCATCGTGAAAGTCATTCGTGAACACGAGTCAAGCGCGTATTACGTTGGAAAAATTGGTAAGTGCCTGCGAGATTTAAGCACCGGCATGCTAGCCATCGATCGACTTTTTTATTTCATTTTTTTATAGTCTCGATTGTCTAAAAGTATACTTTCCAAATTTTTACAATATTAAACAATATCGCACCTGAAGTAAAATCAAGTGGCAGATTTCCAAAAGAGTGACAAGTGATTCTATTTTCTTTCTTTCCCCGCCCTGAGGCCAAGATAACGAGGAGCTCAAAACCAAGACAGGTTCCGAAGATCGGGAAATAGTCTCCGGCGTCGTTCATTTCTATAGCAAGCTCGTAAATGTGTTGACCGGCGTCAGCGTATCCATTGGATTGGTTGAAGTACGTTGCTCCCCCGGGAATCAATACCCTGGAACACATGATGCGAATTTTATAATTACAATATGATTTTGAAGAAAATACTCTGCAGAAAATACGCGAAAAGCAACCCATTTCAGTAGTCTATAGTATGATTGTTACAAAGTATCAATTTAATCGATGACACATGAATTAAAGAACTATAAACTATAAAAACATAAACTATAAAACTATAGAGTACGTTAATGAATCTAAAATGCTTTATTATTTTTATTAAATAACAATATCTTCGTTTCTCTCCGTCGAGATTCAAATTCAGATTCTGAGCCTTTTAATATTGTTGATTTCAAGGACAAATAAACTGTATGTCATCGTTCACTCACCCATTAATTTTCTTCATCAGCTCCTTATAATACGAACGATCTTTACCGATCCTGAAAAATAAAATGCCGTTTATTTTTTTTATTTATATAATTTTTTTTTATTAAAATTGTGCGTGACAAAAATTATCCTTTGAAATACTTTGAATATGATATTTAATTTGTTATTTTTCTTATAATTCAAGATAATTATTCAAAGCCTCAATTATATTGTAAAGCACGACTATTCAACGCACACGGTACACACAAAGTTCTCAAAAACGGGCAGAACGCATGTGCATGTGTAATATACGGTTGGTTAAGACTTGTTGGCTAAGAGTACACCGATTTCATTTTAGTACACGACGCTATTCTTTCATCGAACATGTCACAGATGAACACTTGTAACACGCCTATTTATTTACACATCATTTAAATTTTCTCGATGATTTGACCCCGGCGTAGTCACATCCCTGAATAAGAATACAACGGACAACTTGATCAACTGACGCTTCCAATGTGTACGTGTAGTTCTTAATACAACATAGAAGAACATCAGGTCTTAAAAATTAGCACATTACATTACAAAAAAAAGCGGAAGATACTTACAGAATAGGCACAACCCGAGCTCCCGATGCCTCAATGTCTTTGACATACGAAGAAGCAATGTAGCTTGTGTAGTTCTCTTCAGGGAATTTTCCATGGAGGTAAAACGATTGTTCTTGAGAAAGTACACCGATTATAGGTCTGTCATTTACGACCGAGTACTCATTGCTGTCCACTATCACAGCGCCTTCGCAATGAAAAACGTACAACCAGAGCAAAAGCAATGCACTCTTCATAGTGATCACCGTAAACCAGTCGTCTCCGGAGAACGAGAGCCACCTAATAAAGACAAACTTTATCTCGTTTTATCGAAACTTTTAAACGCGTTGATTCTTAACACTCACACTTATCTTTATATTATCGTTATTGAATAGAATGTGCAAGCATTATTAATTTCATTTACGACAAAAGTGATTACCAAGTACCTACTAACCTTAATAATATTGCTGTTATAAGATTAAAACAGTCACTAACTAGGCACACTACAATGCTTTTCTGTCTTACGCGCATAAATTGTGTCACATCATCTAAAAATAAAATTTATCTTCCGAATGTTGCAATAGACATGACTACATCAGTTTTTTGCTATTTTCAAATTAGTTATTCGTAAAATGAATACCTATATTCATTATTTTTTATATTCTCTACTACGTAGCTAATATTGAAGTCGATTCTTTAAATCTTGTATCTTATAGTGAGTATGTTACATAAGTGCCTACACATGTCGAGATTTTATCTGAAAGAGATAAACTTAGTAAAGTGAAATTGATATAGTTCCATGTCCGCTTGGATAATTGATTTTAAATCGTTAAAGTTAACTACCAATCCATAGAATTTATAGGATTGATTTTTATGTTTTTAGTGAAATTAACATTATACAAAAGAGTTTTCACAGTATTTCGTATTGTAAACTGGGCGATTGCTAATTTATAGCGCAATTGTTTGTAATTTGTTTACCTCTATGATGCGTTTCCCAGGCGCATATAATTTTCTTATTGCGCAGGGCAAAAATGTATAATAATACAGTATTCTTGTCGTTAATTTTCATTACTGGTTTTATTACTTTAGCTCTCTGTTGATCATAGACACAAAAATTGAAACATCACAGCTGACGGTGAGAATTACATTCTCAATTACACCACATGAATATTTCACCTTACAGACAACAAGTAAATACTCACATCCTGGCAGGCTTGTTTCTAATTTTAAAAGCTCCAAGCATTTTGTTAAAACTATATATATATTAGTTCAACACAATTCCCAACCCATTCAGCAGCCATGCCTAGTACACATTGCTGTGATCTTCATTCTAGAATTATACCATTCAACAATATAGTTATATGATTACTGATTTGAAACCACCGATCACAGACACCTCACAAATCCTATGAAATCGCATAGGTAGCTAGCTGTAAGAGACGAAACTAATGCAACTGAAATAATCATTTCACCTAAACGAAAATTACGCAGAGCACTTCGTGGTACAGTTCTGTCCATAACATCGCCAACATCCATTGAAACCGGAGACTGTTTCCGACCAGATGGCCCGTATACTTATCTGCATTCCAACGGAATAGAAGCTAAGTTGCGCTTTCATACAATACTAAGCCCTTAATCATATAGTCACAAATAGCAATGAATTATCATCAGCACTAGGACAAACATTCCACTTTACGAAATAAATTCTCACAAAATTTCTCATGGATCAAATCAAAATTATATTTCAATGAAAACAAAATTAAAAATATTTTTATACAGCAACATGAAAAGCCTGCGTTGTCAAATCGATTGTTTACGCATGCGCTGTCGATATTTACAAATGGATTGCCTTCAGTGGATAATGGACAGGAGTGCTCTGAACTTTTCTATTGATGGTAACTTGAAGTAAATTGTCCATTCAAAATAATACCAAAAAGGAATATTTCGTCAATTTAAATACTGAAAACGTTTTCAATATGTGCATGAAAGGAAAGGATAAGTCGACTTTAAGTCACATTTTCTTTTTCATCTTGCAATGTCACTCAAATTCAAAAATATTATAATTTTACTGGTTAACCACCACCCTGCCTATTTCTGCCGTGAAGCAGTAATGCGTTTCGGTTTGAAGGGTGGGGCAATTGCTGTGGGCCGTTATATTGTAAAAACTGACATCTTATTATACAAATCTCAAGGTGGGTGGCGGCATTTACGATGTGGAGGTCTATAGACTCCGGTAACCACTTAACACCAGATGGGCCGTGAGCTCATCTACCCATCTAAGCAATAAAAAAAATTATGCGTGTGCAACTTAGTGCACGTGAAAGAAGTAAAACTTCTTTAGCGGTGTGTAGTATTATGGTTTTTATTCATTTTTCATCCTTAAATAAAATTTCACTTGTAATAGGGAATGCTGTGTATAAGAGAAACGACCTAGCTCGCGTCGTCCTTTCCCGCTCTCCACGATCGAATGGTTCGCAAGACACTCTATCTATTTTTTCGCTCTAGCTCTTCCTGAATTGTATATTTCCTCTCTAGACGTAACGAATCTGTCGCTAGTTAAATTTTACTCTCAACGCACCTAAAGAAGTTTCACTTCAAAATCTTTGCAGTGAGCTGAAACCGCGTTAAGTACTTGGATCAACTGGCGATGGAACCATGGCTACTTTCTTCATTTTCATCTGGGGAGATTGCGATCTAGAATTCTGAGACGCATTTACAAATTAATATGAACAAAATATGCAGTTTGGACCGCGAAATTTGCGAGTCGAAAATGCTGGTTTATTAGGTACTGGCTCAGACGACAAGCATATCCGAGTCTTTAATACGCTGGATTAAGCACATTCTGCCTGTATCCGATGCATCGTAGTGCACGAAACAGAGCCATATTTACTGAGCTGCAGTGACGACTTTCTAATAAAATTTTGGGATTAAGAGTTGGGATAGTAATTGGATTTGCCAACAGGTATCCGAAGGTCATACTAATTAGTTAATGCAAATCGTAACCAACCCGAAAGATTATAGCACTTTTGCTGGTGCCAGTCTTGATATTACAATCAAAATGTGACAAATCGAATCACTTTTGCTTATGTTTCTGTTGGAAGGTCACCCAAGGCGTGTAAGATGCTTATATTTTTACAGAGGTATTGTTGGACGGTTAAATTTGAAGGGATTGGGTTCTTAAGGTTGATGAGGGGCTATTTAAAACACACTGCTTCATTATAATTATATTGCAGATAGTTTGAACACTGTTACACCATTATAAAATTATTATCTTTATATTTTTTATAAAACTCTTACATCTTTCTTTGACCCTGTCTAGATGAGAAGTTCTGACTTTTTCTTACGAAAAGACAATCATCTGTTTTTTAAACATTTAAAATAATTCTAATATTCGAAATCTGTAATCATGTGTCAAGTGTTGCCTGCCATTATATTTATATTCAAACTCCAACAGGTATAGATCAAATCTATTTGGCCAGGGCGGGAGAAGACTGTCTTGTGAAAATATGGAATTATCAAAACAAAACATGTATCAAAAAGCTTAGAGGGACATGTTCAGCATATCTGAACAGTTTTACATCATGCCGACCTTCCATTCTTAATAACAAACTGCGAAGACGGTACTGTTAGAATGTGGCACGCAACTACATATAAATTAATATCTACTTTAAGTATGCTTTAAATCAAGTAAGGACTCTGTTATCTATTCGTGCAGGTGCAAATATTGTCATTGGGTATATAATGAAGGCGTGACAAGTTTTTTGGTTGGCAAAGATAGACATGCAATAACCATGAGTGGCCGTAAAATAATATGAACAAAAGATTATTAAATAATGCAAGTAAATTTGAAATTGCTGTTTAAATATGAAAATATTGAGAATGGCGATATTCTGCCGGTTTTACCAAAAGATATTGGAACCTGTGACGTCTACCCTGAAAATCTTATGCAATGGTAAATGGTAAATTTATTGTGGAAGTGGAGAATATAATGTTTATATATCAATAGCGTTGAGAAACAAGGCGTTTGGAATTGCTCGAGACTTCGCTTCGTCATCTGAAAGTTCAGAATACGCTATCATCGAGAATTCCAACATTTTCAAAAATTTCAAGGAAAATACTAATTTTAAGCTTGAAGCTAATATTGAACGTATATTTGATGGCTTCATACTACGGGGATAACTGGGAAAGCTTTCAACTCATTGAGCGCGTTGTAATCAAAGTTCAAAGCGTGCATCTGCCAGCAGCTTTGTGTGCCTCGCTACCAATAAAAAATATCACGTACTAAAATACAACAATGCGGTAATGGCTAGGTAAAACAAACGGAAGATGGTTTAATTGAAGATGGGATTGAAGATGCTTTTAACATTGTTGATGAAGTTACCGAAAAAGTGAAAAATGGATTATGGATCGGCGACTTTTTGTCTATAGCACCTCTAATAATAAAATTAACTACAATACTGGTGGGGTAACCATTACTATTTCGCATTGTGCATTCTTAGACCCGTTGCAAATGAATATAGATTAAATCTGAACGACAAAGAGTACAGTACAGTATCCTACACTGTATTACTGTCTGTATTAAAAAAACGAGATGCAGTAGTACGAAGCGATTTTGCAACTGCCCACCGATTTCGATTTGCCATACCAAGCGGATATCACGCTCATGTAGCACATTTTGTACGTATGCAAGTGTTTAAGTAAAACCTTTAGCAATTTCGGTAAAAAAAATTATCACCAATTCGATCTTGCGTTTGCGCTTGGAGAGTTTGAGTAAGCAAGAAATATAATTGAAGATCTAAGACTCCCGCAAGGTTCCAATTCAGCTGCCAAATGGATAAAGCTTGGCACGGCAGCTTTTGCTAAAAACGATATGGAACTGACAAAAAATTTTTATAAATCTACTCAAATCACAGGATTATAAAGGACTTTTACTTTTCGCCATTAATATTGGCTATAAAAACTTCTTACAGTCTTACTCCTTTTTCATTTGATAGTAGCGAGGCTATCAGATGAAAAAGGATACATCAACATTGCTTTTATAGCATACCTTACACTCAATAAACACGATCAATGTATCCAGCTACTCATCAAAAGTAACAATCTACCGCAAGCAGTCTTTTAGCAAGGTCAGACTGCTGTCCTAAGAAAATTATTGATATAGTGGCGAGAATCAATTCGAGATCTGAACAAAAAATTAAAGCATAAACTTAAAGCTTATCAAGCATAACCAGAATACGAGAATTTTTACCCTGAATATGCAGAGTCCATATACACCCAAAAAACTCAAACTGCAACAGATATACAGCAAAGTGCGAGTTTAGCAATATCAAATAAAAAATATTTAGAAGAAGATACAGCACTAGAACACTCGCCTATACTCAAAGAACAGCAATTCTTTCAATTTTATGAATTCTCTAGAGGCCAGCATAAAAGAAGAAATCGTGACAGATGAAAATATGATATATTTTTAAATCGAAAGATTAAGCCAATATTTTTTGGACAGTATGTATGGAAGAAGTCGAAGAACAAATAAAAGACGTACTCAATCAGAA